TCCCTACACACAACACTCTAGCTCTGGAGTTTGTGGGCTCAGGACAGGATCTCTCCTTGGACTGGCTCTGCTTTAGCCTCTCTCTCTCTCTTGCCCAAGAGAGCAGGGAAACTTCCATTCATTCCCCAGCCCAGCTGACTGTGGAGTGGCTGAATTTCTGCTGCCTCCCAGGGTTCCCCCACATCTCTGGCTTGTGGCCTAGCTGCAGTCTATATTGATGCTGCCCTGCCCCAAGTCCCTCTTTTCCCACACTTTTTGGTGCAGCTGGGAAATGTAGGCCAGTAGATGAGGAAGGACCCTATCTGGAACTACAGCTCAATTAAGCCTTCTGGGGAGAACATCTTAAACACAGAGACAGCAGCCATCTCACAGATATAGAGAACTGCCATTTTGTTACACCTACCAACAGCTACTGAGGGAAAAAGTTAGTCTCATATAGGAGGCAACTGTCTTCATTAAGAGAGAAAGCTGTCTGCCAGAAATTCTGAGAGGGCCCAGAGGCTGAAGGAGTGGGCGGGGAGGAGGAGCAAACCCAGCACCTGGCCAATGGCATGTGAGTACTCTTGAGTGGCAGCTGATGGGCTAATGGCTGAAGGAGGGCATTTTACAGCCAATGGAAGCGCATGGAATGTTGCCAGACTAAATTGCAATTATGTATAAGGAGAGATCCACACATACATACATATACAAGAAGAGGGACCCGTGATACTCGCGGGGGGGAGAATCCCCCCCCCAGCTCCTGGAAGCAGGAGGACCTCAGGACCTCCTCTGCTGTCGCCGATCTCCCCCCCAGCCCCGCCGATGTCCTCCTCCCAGCATTCTCTGCACCTGCGCAGGGAACACTCTTTTACTTTTGGGGGGATTTAAATATCCCCTGCATATTTTTTCCAAGTTTTCAGATTTTTCTGCACATCTGGGGATTGCCTCAAATGTGCAGGAAAATCTCCCTGCCCCCAATGTGCGGATTTAGATATCCGCATGGAGGGGGCATGTTGGGAATTAGATATATAAACAAAATTCCTTTTTAATGATTCAGACATTATTGCTGACTGTTTGAGGCAGCATACTTCATGTTATTTCAATAATACTATATGTGGTTCTACATTGTGGTTATGCCATCTCATGCTCCCTCTAAGCTGTGGAGTCTTGTGAGCAAAAATTCTACTTTGTTTGCTGTTGGCATTAAAGTTGTGAGTGAGTTGGCTACTGCATAAATTAATTTGCTCTGGAGCCATCCTCCCTGAGCCAAGACAAAAAGGTGTGAGCTGGAGGCTAAAAACTTGTGAGCTAGCTCACACTAACTCAGCTTAGAGGGAACACTGCCATCTCCTTTACTGAACATTGGTTCAGAGATATCAGAGCCCTGGCTCCTTATGACATACAGGTCTGTCTTTCATTCTTTATTTGGAGTCTCAGCCTGTAGTGTAAGTATAATTGAATCATAGATCACAGAGTTGAAAGGAGCCATACAGGCCATCTAGTCCAACCCCTGCTTGATGCAGAATCAGCCTAGAACATCTCTGACAAGTGTTTGTCCAGCTGCTGCTTAAAGACTGCCAATGACGGGGAGCTCACCACCTCCCTAGGCAGCTGATTCCACTGTTGCAAAACTCTTACTGTAAAACAGTCTTTCCTAATATCCAACTGGTACCTTCTTACCCTTAATTTAAACCCATTACGGCAAGTCCTATCCTCTGCTGCCAACAGGAACAGCTCCCTGCCCTCCTCTAAGTGACAGCCCTTCAAATACTTAAAAAGAGCAATCATGTCCCCCACTCAACCTCCTCTTCTCCAGACTAAACATCCTCAAGTCCCTCAGCCTTTCCTCATAGAGCTTGGTCTCCAAGTTAACAACTATTCCATTTATGTTTTGTAAAGCATCTTTCCTGTAAAGGTCACCATGTTATATTCTAACAACCTTATATATCTACTATTTTTAGGAATGATTTAAAACCGGCCTGGGCCCCCAAAAGAAAATATATTTTACTTTATGTGTGTGTGACACGTTTTCGACCACTGAAGAAGGCCCTTAGGGCTGAAACGCATCTGGCTTAGTGGTTATATATCATTATGCCAAACTATTGTTGACATCCTATTATCACTGTACATGCAACTCCAATTGGTTGTTGTATATGACATTTTTATTCTCTGTGTATGTGTGTTGTTTTTAACTTTGACCTGCTGCACTGTGCAATAAATATTTATATATTTTTGATGTTCTTGCTACTCAACCACTTGAGTACCTAACATGTTTAATCTCCTACCAGTCATTCTCTCCCACCTGTCCTGACTTGCATGTGATTTCCCTCTCAGTCTTAATAATTGCTACAGTTACATGGGTACTACTGTCCAGGGTTCACTTTTAACCAGGATCTGAAACCAGAATTTGATCTCTGGGTTACTATTAATCTTGGTTAAGGCCACTAATTCTTAACTATTGATAAGGCTGAAAAGGTTTCTGCAAGCTACTGGAGCACACACCTATTCTCACATGCAAAAAGATCATGTTAACAAATAACAGAACACAATTCTGTCCAGAACTCCTGGTCCAACTATTCTGTGAACACAGTGTTGACTTTGGCTGTAACACACTGGAAAATCTTCAGTTATCACCTTAAATGTGCAAATTCACAAGTGACATTCTCATGGAGAATAATGAGGCATGAAGGCTAAAGATTAAAAGGCAACACAATATATTAGCCTTGTCCTAAATCTATGTCCACAATCCACATGACAATGAGGGATCAGGAGAAAGTCACATACTGCATTAAGATAAAAAAATCCTGCATTGCCAACTGACCTAAACTATACCTTTCTCAAAATTACAGACTACAAACAACAAAATGGAGGCCAAGACTGAGATGACTACACTGCCTATTACATCTCTACATGGATGAAGCCTGCCCTAATTCTAGAAAGCAGAGGAACTACAGTATGTACCTCCATGTGTATTTAGACGTTGGCCTTTCATCTTGGCCTCCAGCACCCTCTTTCCCCCCTCTCCTTCCAAAAGCTGCCAACAGGTAATTAGAATCAGCTGTGACTTATCTAACAAACTTGCAGCTGCCCATTGCAATGAACTGATAAGGCACCCAAAAAACAGCAGCAACCGCAGGAGGCTGACAGATACTGTCCCAGTTTGCACATCTCTCTTTTAAAAGAGACAGATGGAATTTATATTGATTTTCGAAATGTCACATAAAAATACAATTAGCTTCTGACCTTTTGATATTTCTGCCGCCATTGATGTACATGTTGATCCTGCCATGCTGTAGGCTTGGAAGAAGGAAATAGGTGGCATCTGCTGCGAGACTCCAGCTGCACTGCCAACATCGTTGAAGGCAATACTCGCTCAGGAAGGATTTGTACTTTTGCCTGCTGGATTCTGATAAAAAGATTTCATATAGTATGAAAATCGCACCCATCTGGCTTCTATGGACTGAATAAATAGCCCCTTTATCTATGCAAACAAGGCATCTCAAAGAGTGCCACACAGAAATTTAAGCTATTTCACATGATTTTCTGCATTTTATTTTTATAAGGTTCCCCCCCCCCACATCATTGATGGCCAAATATCCCATTTCTATCACGGCTATGCTTTAGTTAATTCAATGCTGAAAAGTAGCCTGACACTTTAAAATGGGAAAAGATATTACATCCAAGCACAAGTTTATACACTTTTCTGCCATCACAGCAAAACGCAAAACTGGATTTGGAAAGTTTTGAATATAATTATTCTCTCTAATGTTTGAGTGTTAAGTGCTATTGTTATGGGGCTCTTTGCTTATACTATTCCTGTTGAGGCCTGAGAAGGAAGTGAGAAGTTTTTCTCCACCACACCAAAGGTTAATACAATAGATGAACTGCCCTGCCCCACAACAACTGTACAAATGGTGGGAAGGGTAAGTAAAGAATAAGTTGCTTATCTACCCTCCAAAACAAAGGTCTTCAATATGATACCCATGAATACCACGGTATCTGCTGACACTTTTCTTAGAGCCCCCTTAGTGTTTTTTAGAAAGTGGGCAGGACCAGGTGGTCTTGGAGTTTTAATTGGCTATGCAAATTTTCAAAAACAAGTGCTTTGGCTACAGCTGCTACCACAGCACAAGGATCTGCACTGTATGACTGAAGGAAAGCTACAGAAGCCATTTAGTGGCTTGGCTTTGCTTCTTGCAGCAGCTGTTTCATGGATGCAACTACCACCCTGTGTCAAAATTCCAAACATACCTCCAGGCTCAAAAGTTTGGGGACCCCTGCTCCAAAACAAAGTTCTGCAGGAGCGATGTTGGAGCTTTACAAGGCAAAAGAGAGCTCCGAAAGACCCACTTTCAGCAATGCTGAGCTATATAGGGAAAATCTCTCTATATTACTGACTGTGGGAAGTAAGCCCTGTAACCTTAGCAATACTGGAGATTTCTCTACAGGCTTAAGCCTCATAGCACTGAAAGATGATGTGTATGCATCTGTGCTACTAACATCTATACAGTTAGAAGCATTTATAAACTGAAACATGCCTCCTGCAGCATTAAATGCATGTTTCCATTCTTTTAATTTTTATTTTATCCATTTATTTTTAGGATAATTTTGTAATGCAATATATTTATATTAGTAGCTTATCTAAATAATTTCATAGTACATGATAGGTCAGGTAAGGTGAGAGGTAATGTGTATAAAACCTAAGTCTATGCAGCATTACTTTGAAGCAGGTCCAAACCTAACACTCTTCTTCACAGAACATAGTTCCTCTGAAATAATATAAGCCACCCTGATTTATATAATGAAAGATTATTGTTTGAACCAAAAATTGAATTTTATGATCTTTTTAAAGGATGCAATTAAGATTCAATCTTTAAACAGAAATCATCACGTAAAAGATTTCACCGTCTAGTTCTGTTCAGGAGTCACATAAAACGTCAGTTATCTAAATTTCAAGAAGTTGGTTAACTACAGTAAAAGATGTTTTTTTTTATTTCCCCTGAAATACTAGGCAACCAGGGTTGCCAGTTAACCAAGTAAGGACCCACTGCCGCCTCCTCCACAGGACAGTAGTGAAGGAGGAGCAGGCATTGGGTCTCTGTGGGCTCTTGGCCACAGGCACAACTCACTGGGAAGCAGAAAGATGGGTGCCCATGGCCAGAACTCCAACTCCCTGCATTGCCAATCAGCAATGTGGTGGGCAAGGGGGTATTTAAAGGACTAGGCGCACAGCAGATCAGCAATCTGAGGGACAGGAAGTACGTTCTGGCTATGGCCAGAAGAAGGCTCACATCCCCACCATACCAGCCAAATAATTTTGGGGACTGGGGGGCATGGTTTGCCCATGCCCTCCAACCCCCAATACCTTCAATCAGCTGAACAGAGGAGCAGTGATGTTCAGCAGCATGGAATCCAAGCCGTGGGTGCTGCCCACAAACCACTGGCTAGGACTTTGAGCATGTTCCACCACTGCCTGCAAGTTGTGTGGGATCCCTATCACAAATCTAGACCTAGCCTGGTTGCTGGCACCACACAACTGGGCCATGGTTTTTCCAGGTACAGGCTGCTAGGGGGAGAGAAGGCGGGAAAGCTGAAGACAGGGGCAGATAAAGGCAGGTTGGCTGGAGGGTAGGATGGAGAGAAGGAAGCAGGAAAATAGGAGAGGCTACGGGGGCTTTCAGGGAACAGAAACAGTGGGGGAGGTAAAACTGAGATGTCCTGCTTATATCCATCTATTTTGCAAACTTGTAGTCTGTCTCCATCAACTTACTTAACAGTAGAAATATGGCACGGAAAAATCTATATAAGAAACAGAATTACAAGCCTCTTAAAATGAAGTACTAAATTGACAGCAATAATTCAGTGGAAATGAAGCCAGGCCTGAGTCATATCTAGGTAATTAGAACCAAGTTATCTACTTTTCAACAAGTATTCAAGATGTCTTGCAGAATATGCAGTTTACACCCTAATGGATAATACTCAGTAAAACCCATTACAAAAAGAGCAGAAAAAACAGAAGTATAAAATCAAATAATTTAGCACCAGGATAAAAGTGGATTAGTAATTGCTTAGAAGTAAAATAATAAGCAGCAGATGATTATATTTAACAGTGGAATTATGAAAAATGCAAACAAAACAAAAACCCTGCCTGCTAAACAAGCATCAGCAGTCAACAGCTGCCTAGGTAAAAAAATAAAATGTAACCTGGTGCAGAAAGGCCAGCTGTTCTGACATTAGGTGTCAGGATCATTAGAGGTATTACGAATGTTGTGACAGAGCCTTTTTAAAAGAAAGAACAGGGTCTTTCACTGTATCAACATATTTTGAGAGATGCAATGGATGATGGTCTTAATGTGTGCTGCCATCTTGTGTTCACATACCTACAGGTCCAGAGAATTTATTTTTATTATCAAAGATGGAAAAGAACTGCAAAGACATTACATGCTACCAGACAGTCATTTCCCCCTAAATGTCCCTTCCAAAAAGTGCCTCATATTGCATCTCACACTGAATCCTCAAATTACTTTTTCAGCAAATAATCTGAAAGATGAGAGAGAGAGAGAGAGAGAGAGAGAGAGAGAGAGAGAGAGAGAGAGAGAGAGAGAGAGAGCGCGCGCGCACATCTAAAGGATATGGAAGTGGTAATGAAAAAAGTGAATATGAAAAACCCCTCAAGAATACAAAGGAATATTTGTAAACAATTTTGAACAAGAGATTTGAAGCGCTAAAAAGTGACAACTGGGATCAAAAGGAATTGTTTCTCAAATGTTCTATTCTTTGAAAAGTGATATACAAAAATATCAGTACCTGAGGCAGAATTCTGTTGCGTATCACAGCATATAGTTCAGCTAAATGGAAGTTGCAGAATCCAAATATGGTACCATTTTAACTCCCTCTAATGTCTCAGGGAAGCTAAAAAGGTTAAGATTTTTCCACTAGGACATCTAGTTACCTTCTTTCTTTAAAAAGCCCTTAATGAAGTCTAAAGGTGATCTCTCCAAACATGTCATAAAGTCAGAAAATCCCAAATTCAGGTTATTCTAATATTAGAAACCTAATGAAGTCACCCTAACTTTTTGCACGATGTGAACTATAATTACTTCACTAAATAATTCCTTGAACTGCCACATGGCAACTTATTCTGTTCTTTGAACTAATTTGGCATAATTCTTCCCAGGCTACAGTGGGGAACAGAATATTCAAAGGTCACAGGTGGCCACTTATCTTAGAGCTACATGAGCTTCTGGAATTTGCTCCATTAAGTTGGAATTTTTTTAAGCTTGACCAGGGCATTAAACAGACATGTCTCTTGTTATTCATTATATTATTCTCTGAACACATATCATTTTTAAACATCCAGATGAATCTATAATCTACATTTTACTGTTCATTTTGTGCTAGGTTGTCAAGCTACCTGGGGAAGAAACCTGGGTTATGGGCCTCACACTGTAGATGCGTGTGAATGGTATTTGCACTATTCCTGCTCCACTGTCTTGCCAGATGTTCTTCAACTGGATGTGTGTTTGAATAAACACTCCAAAAAGTGAGGTAACTGTTTATGCAAGGATTCTTTGTTTCACATTGAATGCTATTTTTTTTTCCCTGGGATGGTTTTGGTTTCCAAATCTAAGGTACAGCTTTAGCATGTCATGTTTCATTTTTTCTAACAGGAATATCTTCTTTAAAATTACAGTTCATTGCTCTGAATCTTTCAGATAAGGAAGGAAAGAGAGCCAATCCCCAGTCACCTTTTCTAATCTCTATAAATGGTCTTAGAATGTTACCATCAATATTCTCCCCACCCCATTTTTTGTCAACTGTTAAACCAATTCCTGGATAGGGTTAGGGTATTCTCTTGCTATCCTTCCCTCAGTGATTACAAGGGGAAGTGTGTAAGCACAAAGACATAATTTAAGCACCATCTATATATATATAAAAGAAAGTCCCCTCACCGTAAAATCAACTCCCAGGCCAAACCGCTGGACCTAGAGACACCAAATTCGGGGAGAGCACTCCCACCATGGCGTAGGTGCTCACTACGAAGGGATTTTTAGAAATTTGACCCCTAAGGGGGTCAAAAAGAGTAAAATGTGCTCCCCCCATTGATTCCTATGCGGCTGCCAGGCAGCTGCCTCCCTGCACCCCCCCCCTCTGATTGGTCAGCTGCAGAGCTCAGGGTTCTGAGGTAAAAAAAAAAAACAGTTACAGGGGACTGCAGAGAGCTAATGACAGTTGAGGAAATCAGGAGTGGCCAACTGCCTGTGAGGTGAAGCAAAGCTGTTGGCCCAGCCTCTCTGATGGCTTCCAACACACTCCCCCCACCTCCTACACCTAACAGGCGGTTGTCTGTCAGGTGCAGCAGTGGTTGCAAGGTGCTTAAAGCCAAGAGGGAGCCCCCAGCAGTAATGCCTTAGTGATCCTGCTGGCCCTGCCTCCACAGTGGTTTCTAATACTCCTCCCCCCTCCTACATTGGACAGGCAGCTGCTTGTCAGGTGTAGGAGAGGAGGTGGGATGCTTACAGCCGCCGTGGAGGTTTGCTCAGCAGGATTGCCTTAGCCCTGCTGCTGGCCCAGCCTCCCTGATGCTTTTAAACATGATCCCCCCCAACACCAGACAGGCAGGTGTCTGTCAGGTGTAGGAGTAGGATCAGGGTACTTTAATCCATTAGGGACGCCGCCCCAGCGGGACGCCGCCCCAGCGGGACGCCGCCCCAGCGGGACGCCGCCCCAGCGGGACGCCGCCCCAGCGGGATCACCTTAGCAGTGCTGCTAACCCAGCTTAGCCACACTCCCACCCACAATGGAAATATACCCCAAATTTGTAGAGAACTGGTTTCTGTTATTAGGTTATTTAACTTCTCACAATGTGGGTTCTAACAAATTGGTTCATATGAACTTGCTTAATATCTGATTGCTCAGATGGCATTTTGAATACGTAGTTATGTCCCACTTAAAAGTAACATAAATGAGGGGCAATTTTGTAAAAAAAAAAAAAGGGGGGGCCATGCCCTCCCCCCCATTCAATGTCAAGGGCAAACCCCTACACCCCCTGCACCAAGAAACCCAAAATAAGGAGAATGCATTCCTACCATGAGGTCAGCCCCCACTATGAAGAAATTTCTGAGTGGGTAAAAGGGGGCAAAATATGTTCCCCCCATTGTTTTCTATGTGCCTGGCAGGCTGCTGCGTCCTGGCCGCCCCGCCACCCCCCGGATTGGTCAACTGTGTAGCTCAGAGTTCTGAGGTAAAACCTCAGGAGTTGACTTAACAGACAACTGCTTCTTAAATGTTGCCTGCTCCAGAGTGAGCTCACCAAGCAGCCTGGTGATCCTAGCACTTGAGGGCAGAACCACCAATGTGGTCTACAGAGAGGTCCTTCAGTAGAGAAAAAAACACAAGTATGTATGTCTCACTTCATTTTTTACGCCTACAATCTTCTCCATTAGAACTCCTACAACAAATGCTACATTTCAAACTTCACATCATCAGTATTTTAACTGGGTTTACAGAACTTAAATACCGTAGCGAAGCACAGGTATCAGGCTAGTTAAGTAATATTTTGAGGTCTCTTGCTAGAAACTTCCAGAACCTGTTCACAAATTTACAGGTATCTTAGAAGGCTTCTCCGTGACCAAAAGAAAGTAATTAAATTTCCAAGTACCTAGTACTTGCCAGAAGTACAAGCTGGGTTTCGAAGAGGTAGAGGAACCAGAGATCAAATTGCCAACATTCGCTGGATTATGGAGAAAGCAAGAGAGTACCAGAAAAACATCTACTTCTGCTTCATTGACTATGCTAAAGCTTTTGACTGTGTGGATCACAACAAACTATGGCAGGTCCTTAAAGAGATGGGAGTACCAGACCACCTCACATGTCTCTTGAGAAACCTGTATAAGGGCCAAGAAGCGACAGTTAGAACCGGATATGGAACAACTGATTGGTTCAGCATAGGAAAAGGAGTACAACAAGGATGTATATTGTCACCTTGCTTATTTAATATATATGCAGAGTACATCATGCGAAATGCTGGCCTGGATGAATCACAAGCGGGAATTAAGATTGCTGGGGAAAAGATCAACAACCTCAGATATGCAGACGATACCACTCTAATGGCAGAAAGTGAAGAGGACCTAAAGAGCCTCTTGCTCAGGGTAAAAGAGGAGAGCGCAAAAGTGGGCTTGAAGCTCAATATCAAAATAACTAAGATCATGGCATCCGGCCCCATCACCCCTTGGCAAATAGAAGGGGAAGTCGTGGAAGTAGTGACAGACTTCACGTTCCTGGGATCCCAGATCACCGCAGACTTTGACAGCAGCCATGAAATTAAAAGACGCCTCTTCCTTGGGAGGAAAGCGATGGCGAACCTAAACAGCATGATAAAAAGTAGAGACATCACCCTGCCAACAAAAGTCCGCATGGTCAAAGCAATGGTATTCCCAGTACTCATGTATGGCTGCGAGAGTTGGACTATAAGGAAGGCCGAGCGCCAAAGAATAGATTCTTTTGAACTATGGTGCTGGAGAAGACTCTTGAGAGTCCCTTGGACTGCAAAAAGATCAAATCAGTCAATCCTAAAAGAAATCAACCCTGACTGTTCCCTGGAAGGCCAGATAATGAAACTGAAGCTCAAATACTTTGGCCACCAAATGAGAAGGGAGCACTCACTGGAGAAGACCCTGATGCTGGGAAAGATTGAAGGTCAAAGAAGACGGGGACGGCAAAGGATTAGATGGTTAGACAGTGTCATAGATGCAACGAACATGAAATTGAGCAAACTTCAGAGGACAGCGGAAGACAGGAGGGCCTGGCGGGAGCTGGTCCATGGGGTCGCGAAGAGTCGGACTCGACTGTGCGACTGAACAACAACAAAGTACCACCCAGATAAATAAAACAAAGCAAGTTAAGTATGAACAGCAGTGCAGGCCAACTGAACTAGTCAGCTATGACAGACCAGTCTTATCAGGTGTTCCAACCCTGATGAACCTATAGGTACGTCTGGTATTCTGAGAACAGGCATTGGGTACCACAACAAAATGGCTGCCATGGGTTGGGGGCAGAAGCAAGCATAGTATGGCTACCATGAGGACTGGGGCCAATCATAAAAGATAAGGATGATCTAAAACATTAGTAGGCTCAAAGTCAACCATCTTCCTATCATGCAGGCAACCATTTCTAAACAGATATTTCCAGCAGACACAAAGGTGATGCCTCCTGAGTTTTCTGAAGCACCTCCTACTCCAATGATCTAGAAGAAAACCAGTATTTGCTTTGGAGAGTAAGTGCCAGAAAACTCAACAATGGGCATCATGGGATCCACAGGAATCACTCTGGGATCAGTGAGCTACACCACCATAACTATAGCTCAATTTGAGAAGGTATAACAAACTAAAATTCATTTTTAAAAATTTATTTATTTATTTAGGTGTTTTTACCCCGCCCTCCCCGCAAGTGGGCTGGCACATGTATGTGGATAATTACTGTCCAACATTTTGAGTAATTGTGTGGTAAGTGTTGTACCGAACACAGCTATCAGTGACTTCAAGACCTTGTACCTGGTTTGTGAATAGCAATTTAAACACACACACACATACAAAAGATAGTTGAGAGTTTGTAACAAGATTATAATCTGCTATCTATAACAGGTTTCCCAATTCACCCATGGAATATATTTATTTTCCTACCCATCTGACTGAGTTCTTATTTCGAGCACTTTGAACCTCTGTCTTCCTATAGCTTTTACTTTAACTGTTTCAATTCCATACTCCCGTTCTTCACGGTAGGCATAAATTTCAGCAGTCGTTCCAAAATGTGCTTCCCTTTCAAGTATATTGCTAAGAGGGAAAAAAACAGACATAGTTGCACTACCTTTTCAAGCATTTCCTCTTTTCAAACATTTCCTCTTATCAACAATTCTCCATCACCTTTTCCCCAAGAATAAAATTCTACCCGATTTTACAATCTAAAAAAATTCTGGCACAGTAGTATTCTATACTATAACAGAAATGTTAAAATTAATTTTATGACATGATAATGTAGATACACGTGTCAAACATTTAATGAAACATATAGAAGTGATCAATATTAGTCATACTGCCAAAGATTTTCAACCAATTTCAAAGGTGAGGTTGATACATCATATATTAGGTTTCCCCCCCCCCCATAAGTGAATAATCTTCCATGAGATGACAATCACTCACTTCACAGCAAGGATCCCAGGAAAATACTCACACCTGAAACGTCTGCACATTCTCCCACAGTTTACCATTGCCTCCAATACACTGTCTCCTCTCCTTTAACCTTTTTTGCCTCAACATGTAACAACCTTCTAGGGACAAGGACCCTCTCTTGTACTCTGTAAAGCACCATGCATATGATGGTGCCATATAAACAAAAAGAACCACCACCAAAACCCCTTCTTATATCGAGCATATTTGTGGTTCACAGTTTTAGCTGCTTTAGCACTCAAGTAAGAGCTCTGTACAAGGACAGCTTCTGTTTCACTGAGTGGCTAGTAAAGTTTTATATATCTAATCCATGGAGAAGTTTAAAGCATTTTTGATACCGAAGGATACAGGGCAACTCTTACTTGTGTGGGGCTCAGAGTATACACACACTGAAACCACCAAGGAGCTTTGGACTGCAGCCGGTGAAACATGTAACACCGATAACCTTCTATTTACTGCTTCCCTATGTTTATAAACCCACTGAAGTATTTTACCTGTATGCAAGAACAGCAAAGGTTCTGTCTTTCTGTATCAAATTCCGCACCATGCTGACCTCTTGGGGGTGAAAGAGCTGCAGAGGCAATGTCTGTCCAGGAATCAACATCACCATCACATGAGGCAAGACCGGAATCATCTGGCAACTGTCATCATCATGAACAGTTCTCCCATGAAACTCTTCCATATCAGACCCTAAATACTTTCAAAATTTTAAAAATTAAATGGAAGTTTTACAATGCAAGAAGAGAGTTCTGGGATCCGCTAACATTTTGCAAATGTAAAAATTAAGACACCACCTATAGGATGAAGGGAAGAAAACAGTTAATATTGTTCTACAAACATCTGTAAAAATTCTAATGGAAGTTTGTACAGTGCTATAATATGAAAGACTGATAACATGCTATAGCTTGTGCTACTGGTTGGCAAGGCATCGTTCAGCTAAATCCAACAAGCAGAATGACATCTTCCTACTTGGTTCCATTTTCCTGCACAGGCATAGAAATGTCCCTCTATAAGTGGAAAAGTACTTCTGGACCATCCTTGAATTCTAACCACCTGTGATTACAGTAATATAGTCAGAATATTTAATGAAGAAATGCTGAACCAGATTACATGAAGACAGGACAGGAATTTTCAATTGTGTAATGTACATCTAAGATACACAGAGACAGCTAGGTGCCCACTTCTCTCCTGCACAAAAGAGCCAATTCTACCAGGAGTCCTGGAAAGTTGTGGGTATGGAAATGGGAAGACGCTGTTGCCTTTACCTTGCATAAGAACAGAATAAAGGGAGGCCTCACTTGCTGAAGCTGGACCACGGTGGTATAGTACAAGGAACCCCCCAAATGCCAGAGATTATATTCCTTATCATATTATGTATGCTAATTCAGTCAAATTATCCAGAAGGAACACTTGCAGAGGGGATAAAAGCTACTAGCAGACAGAAAGTTGTTATACTATAAGTGGAGGATGGTTGAATTATCGAGAATATATTAAAAATAAAAATATATAAAGAATACGATAGTTGAACAGTGATATGAATACACTGTTTTTTTTATATCAGTCATCTGCACTTATCGTTCTGCCGCATGGATAATGATGATGTTGAGGAGAGGCGAACACTGCAATGCACATACCATGTGTGATGTTGGAAGACTAGTATCAAAATTAATGTTTGGCTTTTCAGCATCCTTGCTGTCTTGATCTTCAACGTCCATTTCAACATCATCCTCTTCATCACTCTCTGCTAGAAAGGCAAAATAGAATACATATATTTGTTTTAAAAACCCACAACAAAGCATACCCCACAAGCATTTAGTTAGACAAACGTTAGACAAATTTTTGGCGAAAGACACTGAATTTCCTACATGCATTGTCACAGTGATGAGTTAAGATTTCATGTTTCCTTCTGAGCAAATACAAGCACCTTATACCAAGGGTCCACCTAGCCTAGTATTGTTTATATTGCTTACCAGGAATTCACCTGCTCAAGTAGAAATGCTTCTCAGCTCTGCTGAATAAAATATTTTAAATAAGAGATTCCTTGGAGTGAGTGTGATATCTTTATATATTCAAAACCACATGCCACTGAATTTATAGCCTGTTGGTCCCTCACAGTGGAAATTGTCATGGGATTTTTTTATTTGTATGCTGAACATTTTCCTTTCCAGGGATAACTACAGGGAAGGCTATGTGCAACAGATCCCTAACTAAACAAAGATCAAAATGCAAAAAGTTGGGGGAGTGGGAGTGTAAATGTGGGATTTTTCACCTCTATAAATTCTAAATTCATCAACATTTTTCAAGCTTCTCTACAAAAGAGAAACAATATCAGAACAAATTGCTGAACACACAATATATTTACTACTACTTTTTGACATTTGTCAAAACATGCTGATTCTGTGAACTTAGGAAGATCATGAGAGGGAGGGCCGGAAGGGATGCATTAGTTCTTGTGGCTCTTTCTTACACACCCAAGGAAATGCTGATCGCCACTTTGGGGTCCAGAAACAATTTTTCTCCAGGCCAGTTTGGCTGGAGATCCTGGAGGTTTTTTGTCATCTTCTGGGCATGGAACAGCAGTCACTGGGGGTATGGAGGGGGAGGTATTTGTTAATTTCCTGCATTGTGCAGGGGGTTGGACTAGATGACCCTGGAGGTCTCTACGATTCTATAATTGATTTATATGTGCAAGTTAACAGTGGCCACCTCTTCGAGGCTTGTTCAAAAGGTTCTGCAGGAACTATATGAAAACATGTAACACTGTGAATACAAATGAACATTTAGTTGAGCCTTTCTGGAAAGTTGCATTTTCTCACCCTGAAACTTCAAAATTCTTTCTCCATAACAGTAACTTTTTTGAGCTTTAAACCCCATTTCTTTAGTTTTCAGGGTTTTATCCTCATCATAAACATAATTGTTAAATAGATGAGTGTTTCATATTCCTAGCTGGTACAACTCCAATAGTGCCAAGTCAGATGAATAAGGTAGATGTGGCAAGACATATTCAGTTTCGAGCAATTACAGCTTGAACTGCCAGTCCCCTTGTGTGTGTGTTATTCCATTGCTGTGGAACAGAAAATCACCACAAGGAAACATTTAACAATGTTTACCTATCCTAATCCTTCTCTAACTTGAGGCCCTTAAAAAAAATCAACAAGCATAAAACTGAATATTTGCCCACCCCTTCATGTACCCTTGTTAGATGATCTGTGGACCCTGCATTCCTTTGTTGAGGAGAGTCAGAATAGTTCCATTCCCCATCAGCTCTTTCTCTCTCTGAATTAGTGACGCACCCTGCATTTTTCCACAGTAATTGTTTTTGTAAAGATATTTATCTGAATATTTTGCAGCAGGTTCTATTAACAGATGTCTTGTTGCACTCGTTTCTATTGGTGCATTTGGAGATCCAGTGAGCTGACACCTTATTTATGTGCAGCTGATCATGTAAAATTGAAATAACCAAACCAGGACTACTGTTTATGCCCTATATGTCGCAGTGGAAACTTAGTAACTCCATATAACAGGCTCTACTGTGGCCACCATGCTTCAGTTTGGTAAGTCGCTCTTGCTAGATCAACTGCCCATCATTCAACTGTGCAGCACAATAAACAGTTCAGCCAGTTTTGGTGTACGTCTCTTGTATTTATTCTTTTTATAAATTGGCAGTAATTGCTGGCTTTTTATTTCAGCTTCTTTAGCACTAGAACTATTTCAGTTAAATATTATCGGAATGTTTCTAAAGGACGTATCACTATACCATGAAACTTACTGTGCTACCCCCAAGAGAAATTATCATTCCAACAAAACTTTTTTACTAACCTCAATGTGAGCTGTTCTTAGCATGAACTCACAACTCTAGGATAGTACAACTGCCTCACTCTAGGTGGATTATTAATTTAAATTAGGCAATTTAAGTCACCAAGAAAAAAGAACAAATTTAAATTCCATAGACTTAAATACTCCCTAAATAAGGTTGCCACAGCAAGTTTGTAAAATATTTAAACAATATTTTACTGTTTTAGAAAAAGATGCTATGTTGGTAATCTTAAAAGACCCCCAAACAGGGTCTCTTTTAAGACCTGAAGCCATTAAAGATTTGTGGGCAAACAACTATAGGAGTTGGAGTCAGAACTAGAAGTTGCTTCCATTTCCAAGTATTCATTTTTGTTTTAGTTATCCCTTTTTTATTTGTCATGTAACTGACCTGGTTTTTCACATCCATGCCCCCAAAACAGAAACAACCCCCCCCCCTCAACTGGAAGCAGAATGTAGCTGTGGTTATTGGGTGCACCCACTTTTTCCATGATATGGCATGGTAGGTACTGTCTTTGACTGGTAGGTACTGTCATAAATATTATTGCCAAAAAAAAGTTACTGTACTAGACATAAAAGAAGAATTACCTAGATTGAATAAATAAACTATATCTGCAGTGATTTGCCACATTCTGGGCCCCATGGTCAAGTACATGACTATTGTGTTACATGATGACATGTGAAAAATTCTCCTCAACAATTCTTTCTTTATGAAGAAAAGTAATACTTCATAAGTTCATAAAAGGGTAATAAATTCAGTTCTATGGAATTCCATGCCTCCATTAAGTTCAGACTATATGTAAATCAGAATTTTTAAAAATAAAATAAGATTTGTATTTATTAAAAAAATTATATGACACTTCTCCAGAGACCTGTTCCAGGCAGTTTACAATTAAAAAGTAAACAATTAAACACAAGCCAGTGCATACAACAAACACTAAGCAGCCTAATAAAACAACCCTCACGCCAGAAGCGGACCATTAAACAGTTAAAAAAGACTGAACAGCTTTAAAAAAAAGCCTTTGAAGCCTAGGTAAAAACAAATGTTTTGGCCTGGCACTCACAGGAAAGTAAGGCAGGCACCAGGAGGAGGAAATTCCAAAGGCAAAGCACGACAATTGAAAAAGCGCCATCTCTGGTCACAACTCTCATTACTTCTGCAGGCTGGGACACAGCCGGCAGGTTTGAGAGACAGATCTAAATGGCAAGCTGGACAGCTGGGAAGAATACGGTCCTTCTCGTATCCTGGCCCCAGCTATACTGGTCCTTGAAGGTAAGAACCAGCACTCTGAATTGTGCCCAGAAACTGATGGGCAGGCGGTACAGATCTTTCAGCACAGGGGAGATACGATCCTCTTAAAATAACTTTTAAAAAAGCACCCGTCTATATTCATCCCAGCCTCACTAATAAGATATGAAACCTTTCAATCTGAAATATTTTATTTTGGATTAAAGAAAGAATGCCCAACCATTTGTATTTTTCTACACACATACACGCACACAATGCTTCTAGTACAACATGGGCTTGCTTTCACTTAGCAGGGCTAGGCCTATCGACTGGTTTTAAATTACAGACCTCAACAACACAATCACAGCTGTAAATCCACCCACATTGTGGTGCACTGCAACTGCACTATAAAATATGCATGGACCTTGGTAATTAAGGCAGCACAGTTCTATTGCTGCTTGATATTACAGTCATACTGCTCCGCCAAGGCTCCCCCACCACAGACCTCAAGACTAAAGAGATTTTTTTTAGACCATGATGTATAAACTATATCTTGCCTCGGAGCACCTTGCCTTGGAGCACAGTATTGGCACACAGTGGGGCATATTATAATTGGTTAAAAAAACAACTATAGTCAAACTGACATTTCCTTACTATCCTGACACAGGTATAACAACATTCTTAGATTACTACTGATTTTTAAAAATGTTCTAATATAATTTTGATACTGCCTTTCATAGGAGTCACAATTCAGTTCATTGTTTTATATTTTTTTCATGTATATTTTATCAAGCTGTGTCAGCTTATAGTACATTTTCAAACACAATGCCCATTTAGAGGAAGAAACCTTATTCTGTTTTAGTTACAACTGTTCTAAAGCTTTCTTCTCCCTCCTCCTCTCTGCTACCTATTAGGGAATGCTGTATTTTAAAAATAGGGTGTTTCCTTTCAGCACTAGGCCATGCTTCATTTCTAAATTCAGCTCATGGGTGCTCCATTTTGTTTCTTCATTTTCACTTATTTCTGCTAGAAAAGAAAATAGCCAAACTATGCTGAATGTTGGCTGAAAAAGCCTAAATGCTTGTGAAGAGTGATGACTCATATTACTGCAGTGGCACAATGGAAAAAAACCAAGAGACCATTGTTCTAGTCTCATTAATTCACAATACAAACTCAGATTGATGAAGACACAACAAGTCTTGCCCTCCATCGTTTGGAGAGGGAAGTCACATACACTTGTGGTATCTTAATTTAAGGCGAACACACAAAATAATACATTTTATTTACATTTGTCATATTTATCTTCTCAGGACAAGAAATTCATTTGTCAGCATTCTAGCAATACCAAAGCGCTCTAAGTGTAACATTTGCATTCTTTACTGGACACATATGAGAGTCTTGACTTAAAGCAAGGGCCACTTATGAAGCCTCTTACGTAAGCATCCTAGTTCTGTTAGTCTATATGACCACAGGTCATGGATTCTCCTGGCTAGGAAAAGACCCAAAAGCGTATCTTGTCCAGTGGCTTTCATTTGGGGGGTTCTAGCTTCTAATTGGGATGCATACCTAACATCAGTAGCAGTAACACTACCATGCTGGGGATTGTGAGGAAGGGAACTGAAAACAAATCAGCCAGTATCATAACACCCCTGTATAAATCAATGGTGCGACCTCATTTGGAATACTGTGGGCAATTCTGGTCA